AGCACTCAAGTTTGACAGGATGCCAAAACGCTGAGAAAAGACAGAAAATTTTGAGGGAAAAGAAGGTGAAGTAAACAAAACAGACGTTCCAATGGGAGTTAAAGGCTCGGTTCACTGAAATATTAAATAAGGAATGGATCCTGACTCCTTGTGGGGTCCACGTTCTAGCTCGCAGAAAGCAGACAAAGTTTTCCAAAGGTCATTGTCTGATCCTTTGAGCAGCAGCGATAAAATTGCATCCAGTTGCACAACACTGGAGCGGAAGCAGAGATCTTAACATTAGGCATCTCACCACTTCAACAAATAAAGGACACTTTCTACAAGATCAGTTACAACACGGGTCAAGTGGGAACATGCTTTTGAGGCAGATTCAGGTGAAGTTGGCCTTTGAAGAGCGCTAAAACAAAATGCAAAAGAGACAGGAGTGAGGAAAAACTATGCAATCCCTACAATTATTGAGTCATTCATGCGGTAGAGGTGGCAACAGTGTAGCACATAGGCAGCTCATTAATATGAAGACAAATGCCCTGAAAGGCCTCTCTGGGAGAAAAAGATCAGAAGTGTGAAGGAAGCTGAAGCTGGGGCTGATTCATCTCTCTGGAGGCGACTTGATTTCTTGAACTGGTACTGTACGGCTCCACATGTTAAAGAAAAGGGTTTGTCAGCGTGGGTATTGCGTGTGCGGTGGTGCAATTTCAAACGTTTTTTTATCACTAATGAGCGTTTCTCTTCATTAGGAGGACGGAGGACTCGGCATCACTTTTGTTGAGGGCGACACAGAGGCCGGGGTTGAAATTGAGAGTATATCTGAAGTGCAGGGACACACCAGCAAAGTATGTCATGCCTAATGAGACCTTCTGTACCGTGGACGTTTAGCTGCCTTTGCTAATCAAAGCTGTTTGTGCTGTGAGCAGGAGGGCTGCATGAAACCTGGGGACAAACTCTTAGCTGTGAATGGCGAGTCTGTGCTCGGATACACTGTTGAAAAGGTAAGGGCGTTACTCTGGAAATAACCTTTCATGTCTGTGCTGTTTATTAGTAGCCACAAGGTGAAAGGTGTGATCGGTATTCTTGTTTTTTTAGGTCTCGTCACTGCTGAGAAAAGCCACAGGTCCAGTGAAGCTAACCTTTGCTACAAAGGAGATCCCCTCTTCTTTCGCTGGTGTCCAGTCGATCTGCCAGGATACAAGCTTTTCAGATGGAGTCCTTGCTAGCGTACACAGCATGCCTAGCATCTTCCCAAGTCAGCCAGAGGCAGAAGCAGCCACCAGTGAGTTCGTTTTACTTGGTTTTAACTTTCTAGAACTGTATTGTCAGTTTTGTCAGGTGAAAAGAACAGACGTGCTTCTCTGTTTTAGGTCTTAGTCGCTCATCCACCCCTTCCGCTCTGGCCTCTGACCCGACGACCTGCCCCATCATCCCCGGCTGTGAAACAACCATCGACATCTCCAAGGGCCGCACAGGCCTGGGCCTCAGCATCGTGGGAGGCTGTGACACTCTGCTGGTAGGAAACCAGACAAATAGCAGTAGCAGTCAGCTAATGAGGGGAAAAACGCGAGCTGGTCTCCCTGATGTGCTTAGATTTAGTCAATAATAATAATAAAACGTGGCTTTTTTCCACAGTTTGTTTTCGTCCTGTCTTCCTGGGTCTGTCGGGTGTTTCTTCCTGTGGAAAGGGAGTTTTTCCTTCCCACTGTCGCACAGTGCCTGCTCGCAGGAGGGTCCTCATATTGTTGAGGTTTTCTCTGTATTATTGTATCCACTACTTCTGTTGTGATTTGACACTTTATATAAATAAACTTTTATTGATTTGAATAATAACAAACAGTAAATCTGCAGGTTTAGCCGTGCGTTCCCAGCCACAATGCCACCCACTTAGATTCTTTGCTGGTAGCATAACTCAGGTTCTCAGGAATGTAGGAAACGATGCTGTCACGGCCTTCGTCTCCTCCTCCTCTTCTTCTCGTTGCCCCTGCCATCCTCCCCTCGTCCCATCTATTCTGTCTGCTCAGTCAGGCTTGGGGGAGCAGCTCTTTGTCTGGCCTCAGCCGTGGCGGACAACGTCCTGCCCCTGGAATGCAACCTCAGGAGCACAGGAACACACACATTCACAGAAGCAGTAATCCAAATTTATGTCTGTTTGCCAACAAACACACACAAAAAAATTTGCTGTGTACACATACCTTAAAAAGTCAACAAATACTCTTTCCCCTCCCGGCCCAATCTGTCTTGTATCCATTTAATATCCTCCAAATAAATGCTAAATGTCTTCCTTCCATCTTTTTTTCTTGTTTTGTTTTGTCCTAATTAACTCACTTTTTCCACTCTCTCTCTTTATCTCCAGGGGGCCATCATTATCCACGAAGTTTATGAAGAAGGGGCGGCCTCCAAAGATGGGAGGTTATGGGCAGGAGACCAAATCTTAGAGGTGAGCTGCAGCATAATGAGCGTAACCCAGGAGCCAGGTTAAACTATATTTTGATGAGACATGCCCGAAGAGTCTCAGCATGAATGCTTGGATTTTTAAAGTCTGACAATACGATATATGTTGAGCAACAGCTTAGATATATATTAACAGCTATAAGAACCTCTAAAAGCACTTAAAACCAAACCGCTTTTTGCTTTTAGCAAGATAATATACCGCAGACCGAGGCGATTATGAGTGAAAAGTGAAAGGAAACCTGTACAAATGCCGTGTGCATTATGCGCCTTGACAAGTTAAGCACCCGAGCTCTTTCTTGGGTTTGCCCTCCGTCTGACCCCGTGCTTTGTCACGGAGAGAGGGCAGGGGTGGAGCCCGGGAGTTGAGTTATTGTAGCTCAATCACTAGATCTGAATTGAAACACACGCCCTTATGACTTAATAGCTCTCCACTATTCACTCCTGTCCCTGAGCCAGGCTGCTGTGTTTAGAAAATAAGGTCAGCGAGGGAAAGTGAAAAGAGCAGTTTCCCACTCTGCAGTCATGCCATTAGATACTATGGGGGAAAAATAAAATCCACTGCATGTGCACGGTGAAAGATAATATGGTATTTTCCCTCCTTTAAATGTGGTTTGAAAAAAGAAAAGAAGAAAAAGCTGGGCATCGCTCTTAGACTGACCACTGGAGCATCTCACAGGGGTTTGTGGGAAGGTTTCCCTGCTGTACTTTAAGTCAAGCATCAGCCTGTGATTTCAAAGGAATGACCTAGTTTCCTTATATCTAAAGCAGAAATGGTTTAAAGGAAACTTTGTGCATTAAATGAGGCTGTTAGAACTTTTTATATATAATCCTCCGCTGCAGTTAACTTATACACTGGAACAGAAGATAAGGCCTCTGCTACTTTAACCAAATATGGCCGAGCGAGTAGCTGGATCAAAACCTACGCACGCATTCTCTCATCACAGGTGAACGGCATCGACCTGCGAGCGGCCAGTCACGACGAAGCCATCAACGTGCTGCGGCAGACGCCGCAGAGGGTCCGGCTGGCGGTCTACAGGGACGAGGCCCAGTACAAGGAGGAAGACCTGTGGGACTCCTTCACCGTGGAGCTGCACAAGAATCCTGGCCAGGGCCTGGGACTGAGCATTGTCGGGAGGAGGTGGGATGTTGTTAGAATCAGCTCTGCTGCTGAGAGCGTTTACATATAACATAGCAGAGTAGTGACTCCACTAGGTGCTTTCTGGGTCACAGTAGGTGTTAGCGTGTTGAAAAATACATAGAAGCAAACAAGGAATTGAAAACATTCTAGATTTTTGAAATGTAATTATCATCCTACTTTATAATTATATTGTTTTGACGTTTTTTTAATGCAGATCGCGGGATCAGAGGTAACCTTTTGTATTTTATCTGTTTTTATACTCCATAGTTGGGAGAGTGAGGTCATTGCTTTTACTTCTATGATGTTTCTGTCCATGCAGCCATCAGTTAAACCAGTTTTACTTAGCAACAAAAGTCATTGTGTTTGGTGTAAGCACGCAGATTAAGTAAAATCCCTTCTTTCCCACACGACATGTCTGTTACAAAGACATGAAATCATTATGTTTTTTTCAGCAGGAAATCAAAAAGAGATCATAATTTTTTTATGTGTAGCTTGAACAGATCGTGGCTAAATTAAGGTTTTTTTCTGCGTGACTGCATTTTCATATGAGTCAGCAGAACAGGTTTGTATTTCAGTCATTCTCCTCGGTACCAGTGGCGGTTCTCTCCTCGCTGTGTTACCAGAGACGGAGCTGAAAGCACTTGTTGCGTCAGCGTGAAAATCTCGCTATTGTTGCTAGCACTCGATCAGCAAAGAAAGATTTACAAAGTTATTACTGGGATAAGAGCAGGCAGGTTGCTGAGCGTCTATAAGCCCTCTGGATTTCTGCGTGCATGTAAATGTTTTATGCTGACAGATTCGGTCCCGTGGTCGAAGCTTGTGAGGAGACAGGGGTCAGGGTTAAATATCCCAAGCTGGTGTCAAAGGTTAAACAGTTTTTACACAGTTGTAACATTTCGGCCTCTGTCACAGTGGTTTTGCTACACACGTGGCAAGAAAAAGGCTAAAATGCTCAAAAGGATGGAAAAGACAGGAGCCCAGACGACCTACGAAAAAGGAAAATATGCAAGCTAGCAGTTAGTGGTGAGCAGTTGTGACAGCCAAGTATCTCTGGCACCGAGGACTGAGTGGGATCAAGTTGCCTTGCTTCACAGCTACTGCTTGTGCTAGTTCTTATCCACGTGGAGATTGGCACCTCAGATATGCAAAGTCCACGGCTCAGATGTGCTTCTGAACAAAGAAGAAAAGGCAGAGGCTTAAGATAAGTCATCTTTTCTTCCTGCACGTTATATTCTCACTCACAGCGAGCGCAGAATTTGACTCTGTTGACCGTGAACCGAAGCCTCCAACAGCACAATACTGTCAAAGTGATCGCTGGTTAATATTCTGTTATACGAGCCACACTGAGGCAGCTCCATTGGAAAAGCCTGAAATTGCCAGATCAATACTGTACCAGCAATAACAAGTTAAAAAACAGAGCTGTGGAAAATTGTAGGATTAAGGTCAGCAATTTGAGAAAAGGAGACTTAGCGATCCTCAGCAGAGTGCTGCACGCGGTCACAGACGTGTCGTGCCTACTGCCGCGTCTCAGTCTTCCCGTCTCTTTGAGCAGGAACGACACAGGGGTGTTTGTGTCCGACATCGTGAAAGGAGGTTTGGTGGACGCTGACGGTCGGCTGATGCAGGGCGACCAGATACTGTCGGTCAACGGTGAGGACGTCCGGTCAGCCACTCAGGAGGCCGTGGCTGCGCTGCTGAAGGTAGTCCCGCCCCGCAGGCGCAATCGTCAAAGTGTGCAGGACAATTAAAGACGAATAACCGTACAATAAGGCCTGTGTGTTGTGTTGCAGTGCTGCGTGGGATCTATCAAAATGGAAGTGGGGCGGTTTAAGGCGGGGCCCTTCCACTCGGAAAGAAGGCTGTCTCAAAGCAGCCAGGTAATGTAGCTGATGACATAGTGGTTAAAACAGAAGTAGCTTATTTTTAACCCAATCATGCAAAATTACACTAGTAAAAAAAAATAAAGGGCAGAAAATGAGCGCTTTGGAGCTGAATAGAAATTCCTCTTATCTAATGCCTGATGAGAAAACGCTCTGAATGCTTTTATTTCAGATGAGTGAGACAGGAAGCGCCAAGGTGGTCTCTCAGCCATGTTCAGATCCTGACACCCTTCCTGGTGACTCTGACACGCTTAGTACAAGCCAAGAATGTAAGTACGGCAAGACTGTAAGTGTAAACAAGCAGATCGAAATCCACTGCTAATATCGGTCAAATTGCGGGAAAAGAAAAGGCGGGACGAGTCATCAGAGCTACGCGTTTGTTTCAGACCCGGAGCATCAGGAAGTCAGAACAGTGGAGTTCACTAAAGGCCCCGCTGATTCTCTGGGCATCAGCATAGCGGGCGGAGTGGGCAGCCCCCTGGGCGACATCCCCATCTTCATCGCCATGATGAATCCAGTCGGACTTGCTGCTCAGACCCAGAATCTCAAGGTATGAGACCTTTTCTTGGCCACCTCCCTCTCAAATCTTTGGCTCTCATCAGAAATTATGCATATCTCCAATTCTTGTGTGGGATTTAATGCGAATCTCATTTATTTACTCCCACTCGCTCAGTGTATGTATTCTCAGCGGCTCCCAGAGGCCACGAGTCCTTAACCTTTAGCAGTGACCTTCACAGAAAAACTGACAATTGAAACTGTGTTAGACTGAGGCTGGAGGAGGACAATAGCCATTTGCTAACGTGGATAATAAATCTCCCACTCCTGTATTAAGGCCATTAAGCCCACAGAAGGACTCATTGAAATGAATAGGGTGAATCCTGAATGGTATATTCATGCCGTTTTTTCATTTCAGCCTGAAAGAGAAAAGAGAGCGCGGCGTAATGAAATTACTCAGCTGAACCGTGAATTTACGTTTATTGTGCGGTCTAATGATGAGAGCACAGAAATCAGCAGTGACAGATGCGAGTTTCAGATGGTGGGCACCGCTTTTATGACGCTGACATGCAGCAGGCTGCTCGAAACATCCAAACTGTTCTTTGGAAAGTGTGAAAAGTTTCTGCTGCACTGCACATCTGCACTGTTTCCCCCCCAAAATGTTCTAAACTCTCACTTTTTCAGATTGGGGACCGAATCGTCAGCATATGTGGAACCTCTGCTGAAGGCATGAGCCACTCTCAGGCCGTCGCCCTGCTCAAGAACGCGACAGGAACGATACAGCTGCAGGTCTCCTATAAACGTCTTCTCTCACCTCCTGTGTTTCTACCAGATAAATCGGCAGATAAGCTTCAGCTCAGCTTGTGTCGTATTCTTCCCTTTATCTCTGTTCAAAGTGTTCAGCTAAGCTCAGACGAGACAAAGGGTGGCGGTCACAGGCTTTGATGCACCATAAAGCGCCCTCATCCAGCACTACCATCATGCTATCAGTCTTTATCTGGGCAGTAAATCAACTCCAGCATTACTATAACAGAGCTGTGTTTTGTGTGTTAATGCACCTCCAGGTGGTTGCAGGTGGCGACACCACCGTGACGGGTCCCCCTCAGGAGCAGGTCGGTGGGGCTCTCACGCCCAGCTGCATCTTCCAGGACGACCTCGGGTATGATGTTCTTAGACGCAGGGGCGCTCAGAGGAGGAGAACTACAGGTTGTTGCTTTGGTTTTCCTTTAAATGCCTTCTACCTTTTCCCTCAGCCCTCCTCAGTATAAGACCATCACTCTTGATAGAGGACCAGACGGGCTGGGTTTCAGTATAGTCGGAGGGTACGGCAGCCCCCACGGAGACCTGCCCATATATGTGAAAACTGTTTTTGGAAAGGTGAGAGGCGTTTATCTGTGCCACTGTTTATCTTTGCAGAACTGACAGCCTCTGTTATTGATGGTGTGCACACGTGTGTGTGTGTGTGTTTAGGGCGCAGCAGCAGAGGACGGGCGCCTGAAGCGAGGAGACCAGATCATGGCCGTCAACGGGCAGACTCTGGAGGGGGTTTCCCACGAAGAGGCCGTCAGCATCCTGAAGAGGACCAAAGGAACCGTCACGCTCACCGTGCTGTCATAGACCGCCCCCACCTCCACACACACTATACCCACTCCTTATCCTCTGCTCACAACAGCATTCACTTCACCTCCGCGCACCTTTTCTGCAAACTCGCAGCAGCAGCGTGCCGCGACGAGGTGCTCGTCTGTGAAAGCACCCGCACACTGAAACACAAACAGTGTGATCATGAAGAAGCTTACGCCACTGTGATGTGTGAAGGCCTGTTACAAGCACGTGTTGTGCTGAAGGCTTTACTTAGTCGTAATGGGAATCTCAACGAGGCTGTAAATAGTATTAGAAACATTCCACCACTCTGGATTTGAAGTATTCACTGGACACTTTGGATTGTGTTTAGTGCTGTCAGCGTTAATCCCGTTAAAATGACTTTATCGCCATAACGCGGCAAATCTCCGTTAGCGAGTTAACGCGGATCCCCACGTGCGTGGCGTCAACACATTAGCGCGGTTAGCTCGTTAACGCGTTAGCGCTATCCAGCCCCACACACTGGGGGATGCGCGCTAATTCGCTAGCGGTGATTTGCCGCGTTAATGCCGTTAACGTCATTTTCACGAGATTAACACTGGCAGCACTAATTGTATTCCTGTATTATTATTATTATTACTTTGTTAACAGTCTGAGGGGTGACCCCAGACTCAGTTCAGAGCACAGAATTAAAGAAGTACCCTCAAGACAATTAGGAGATTATAGCAGGATTTAGCTAACGCCTGCATTAGCTTAAAACAGCGTTATTTGTCCGTTGCGTTGCACTGCTGTCGGCACACGCCCGTTTCCGCCACAAAACCCCCCCCCAAAAAGCAAGTATCCGTAACTCAAAATTTTGAGTTATTTTCTTGAAATTTCGACTTATTAACTTGAAATTTCGAGTTATTTTTTTTGAAATTTCGAGTTATGTTTCTCGAAATTTCAAGTTAATAAGTCGAAATTTCAAGAAAATAACTCAAAATTTTGAGTTATGGATACTTGCTTTTCCTTTAGTGGCGGAAACGGGCTTCCATACGCTGCTGAGACCGCTCTTAATCAAATGTATCGTGAAGTCACTGTAGTTTTTAGTTCTGAAGCGGCGAGAAGTCGGATATCGGAAACGTGAAGCGTGTTGACTTTTCTTTGAAGGGAAAGATGTGAAAGTGCGGCTTGAGTGTGTCTGTGTGTGAGTGTATGTGAGAGCCGTTCACTGAAATATAGTGCTGCTAAAGCTGATGTGTAAGGTGTTATGTCACAGTATTTTTTAAGTATTATTGTTCACTTCCTGCAAGTGCACAGAAAAGTAAACTGACTGCTATTTAGGTTTGTATGAATGAGTGGTTAAAGAGTCCTTTATGACCTTGTTGTTTACCCGAAACAGAGTCATCCATTCTGTAGTTTTCGACGTCATTGGACAGGTGTTGTGCAGCGTAGCGTGTTCTCTGTCTGTTCTCTGTCTTATATCCCCGTAAATGCATTTTCAAGACCTGTCAAAAGTGACAGTATTGCATTTATTCACACTGAATTAAATAAAAGTGACCTTTGGATTCAATCAGCGTCCCAATTTTTCTTCGTCTTGCACTTTATTGAACGCGAGATATTGAACGCGAGAGTTAAAACGCATTCTGTCATTAAATCCAGCAGGAATAGAAGCTTATCAAGCCATAAACATGTGTTTATTAAATTAGCAATCGCATTTGAGCGGCGTGCCAACTTTTCAAGTGTGCCAGCTGTTGTTGAAACTGCCACCGAAGGGGTTATTGTGCCACACTCATCCTGTGCTACAGCGATACATCAGCTATATAAATTTTCTTTCTGGGAGAGAAGCGGTGTGCTGTCGCTGCAGGTCATGTTTAAATGAAAGGCGACCAGATCTAAGTCAGGGGATAAAGTAAGTTTAAATGAAAAGCGGCCTACGCATGAACAAAGATTTATGTGGAACAGCATGTATGGTCTTGCTTGAATAGAGTCTCTGTTGTCACTAGGGACCTAATAAAGCCTGGATAGAAAGAGACGAAGCTCTCCATTAAAATATGGCATCCCATCTGTCCACACGCTGACAAGCACAGCTGCTCCACAGCTCATGCACAGCCACAAGTCCTCTGTCTAATGAGGTCTGGGGGCTTGTTTGGTTTCGGCGGACTCTCAGAGAAGAACATGGCGGGACTTTTCTTGTAGAAGTTCACGCGATGAGCCATCGGGTCACTCCTTCACCCAGGCCCTCCCAGGTCAAGACCCAGTGCTTCTACCTGCAGCTGCTCCAAGGCAAACCCCAAGTCAGTCACCCCCTGCGTTCGACAGCTGAGCTTCCTCCCCGCAAAGCACCTGTTGTTTTAACTGCCCCCAGTGGGATTAGTGGTTTCTCCAGCCCTCCTCCAGGTTCAAGAGACCCTGCTTGGTTTACACACGGCTTGTCTGCACAAGCCTTTTAGATGCGGGATCAGGTGTTGCCGCTGCGTCACGCTTGACATGAATGTATGGCCAAATGGTGTAACATTCCACAACAATGGCGCCGAAGCTAAATCTCTCTTTTAAAAACCAAAAACATAAAAAGACTGAAGTATCAACATATCAGACAAATCTTTATTTGATTCTTACATGGGAAAAAAAAGACTTCTCTCTTGACCTCATAAATAAGAATTATAACAGTTACATTATTTGATGTACTGTTGCATACATGTCGACTCCATGACTCATGCGTTTGACCCTGCAGCTTAGATTTGTCGATGCCTTTCAAACATTTCGGCGCTCAGTGTTACTGCCAGCTCCAGCGACGACTGAACGTTAAGCAGATAGAAACATAGTTTGTGAGTGGGCTCGGCAGCAGGCATTCCTTATGGGCAGGGAAGGCATCAGCATTACTGAAGGCCCTGGGGCTTCCAATGGCACATGGGCCCCCGGACCCCACCACCACCATGCAGTTGGATGCATAGATAGCTTTTTTCCCAATTTCTTTGAGAAAAATTAATTTGTCCAAATCTAGTATCACAAAAGGTCCCATGCTAGATATAGCTCTGGAAACATTCATGCCTACATAGCAGTTTAAACAGATAAAGGAAAAATGTTAAAAAGTTAGTAAACAGAGTCTTTTTCTAACAGCTATTATGGGGCTCAGACATCTACGTGAGTTATCTAACTGTAAAGCTATCACTGAGCGCTCACTTAGTTGAAGTGTGAAAAATTTACACATTATGATTTACCATTTTCTGGCTTTGGAAGAACCTCTGAAGCTGCACAAATCAATGGAAAAACTCCTACAGACAGCTGTGGGCAACAAACACATTCATCAGTCTCCACGTGGATCTCTGTGAACTTTATCCCGACTGAGAGTTCTCGAGTGTTTATTAATGTAATTGAGCATTTTAGTTTTTCCTCACACTGCCACATAAAATAAACAAGCTAATTCGTGTTTTAATCTCAGCAAAAGTTAGCCTACTTGCTAATACATGACTTTTCATTGTGATGCGTTGCGACACTTCAATGCAGGTTAAGGGTTTACTCAGAGGGCAAACATAGATGAGGTAGTGGGAAAGCTTTAACTGATGACAGACAAAGCAGCTTTTTATTAGCCATGAAAGTTAAAAAAAAAAAAGTTATCATTTGTGTCATCTGTGAAGGAATTTGTCCATGAACCTGTGCTAAACATGCTGAGCATCAAGGAGAATGTTTCTGTTCAATGTAATACCGAGTGAACACCTGGTGTAATGATGCTTTGGTAATAGTTAACATGTATGAGAGCGTCAGTAGTGAAGCTGAGCAGATGGAAAAGAAGCAGACTCCTAAATACTCCCAAATATTTAAAAAAACCCAATAGTAAATGTGTATGTCTTCATAATCTTGTTTGTCTAATAATTTACTCATAAAAGTGGAAACATTCGCATTTTATTCTGCCCCTTTTCCTATTCTGGTTTGCATGAAAGGCAGGTACACCCAGGACAGGTCACCAGTCTGTCGTGGAAATAAAACGGACACAGACACCCATGGCCAACAGAATTACCAGTTAACCTTGAAATTGGAGTGCCCATGCAAGCATAGGGAGGATAAATGCTGTGACACACCACTGGTAACCACTGCACCAAAACATAATAATATTTAAGGAAGAATTAAGCAAACTTGATGTTACATTAGAAAAATGTTTTCTGTTTCTCGCCCATATGGGATCACGTGGAAAAGAAGTCTGGCTTGAGATGGTGTCAAACTGTCACATCTACAACTTTAACCCTATAAACAAACATGCTAGACTAAACATCTCTAACTACCTCATTGGCTTCATATGTAATTTCCCCTCTTTAACCTCTGCATTTGGAGAAGTCTCACTGTTTTGGAGAGAACTGTGACAAAAGTCGAGCACAGCGCAGTGACCTGTCTTCTGTTTGCTGCTGTTTGTTTTGGCTCTATGATGCGCGTCAAGGACAGCCGAGCTGCTTGTTGATAGTGCACACACATACTCCTGTCTCCTCTCCTTATCTGGAGAGGCGACTTTTAAGGGTATGCGGAAGTCTATGTGACATTAGAACTACACAAAGGGAGGACCATGCCTACTTGAACAATGCGTCTTCCCTTTCTTTCCACCATAAGCGTATCTGTGTGTGACTCGTTTCAACCCCATCTCCTGAACAATCATAATGCCGCAGACCCTTCGGCATCATTGAAAAGAGGCTTGCATCTTTAGCTTCATCAGACAACTCCTTTACAAGTCTCTATGATGACGCTCTCTTGCGTGGCTTACGCAAGCAAAACTAATTAAATTTCCACTGCGGCGCTGGTGTTAAATTGCTTCCTGATGAGCACACTGAGAAGACAGTACCCCCCCAGCGGTTGTCAAAGCTGAGGCAGTCGTTTGACCTTCCTGCAAGGTGACGCCATTGCCTCGAGTCTTTACTTACCTGTCAGAAAGATCAGCCCATGACACGCTCCCACAATCCCCTGCATTGTTTGAGTCAGCGTGCGTTAGTTGCTCTTTAACAGCCTTTCCTCTTGACACAGTGGTGCAACTGTAGATAACAAGAGCAGGGTGGGGGTGCTCGCTGGCAACAAGTGGAGACACATGTGACAGATGGCTTCGGGAGAGGGTTTATCTGAACTGACGTTTTGAATGGATTGATTCAACGTAATTAGATTATTAATAAAGATTGGAATGTGAGGAAACGGCTGGTTATGCTCGAAGATCAGGATCGAACTGCATCTTTAAACTTTACTGACGCGGGCCCTAATGATTAATGGCTGAGGCTAAATATTATCTAAGACCAGTAAACAAGTCTTAACAATTCAAACCCACAGCGAGGAGCATTTATGCTGCAAGAATGAGCATGGAAGAAGAAGAAGAAGGAGGAGGAAAGGGCTTTGCTTATGTGGCGTTTTCAGTCTTTGACTCATGTGTTTCACGTCTGACTTTTGTCAGGCTTGTTTACGAAGAAAGAAAAAAAAGAAGAGGCTTGAATTACCCACTTTAAATTTATACAGTGACAATTATATTCCTCTGAGTAAACATCCAAACAAACAAACACATACTTTCCGTCTTCTCCATCATAACCCCAAATTATGTCAAGGTCCCACTTTGCAAGCAGGAAGCGGAGCGCTGTCATGATTTACAGTGAAGTTTTTCCCTCCTTGCGAGGATAGCTGCAGGTCATTGCACTCCCTCCTGTTCCTTGACTGTTAAAGTAAACCTGCAAGTTAGCCGCATTACATCACATGCAGGATGGGCTTTTCACCTTCCCTTTGGTGTGTTTGCACAAAGTGGAGCGTCAGGGTCGTTTACACAGACAACGGCAAAGCACGTCGGATGAAGGAGCACCGAGCACTGGCGTTAAATGTTTGGTATTGACCCTCTTTAGCTGCTCTTAT